AAATGAGGGAAGTTTATAAAGAGGAGTGATTGATCAATTGACTGATGGATGGATTGGTTGATGGATGGATGAATTGGTTGATGAATGGATGGATGGATGGATAGATAGATGGATGGATGGATGGATGGATGGATGGATGGATGGATGGATGGATGGATGGATGGATGGATGGATGGATGGATGGATGGATGGATTGCTGAGAGAAGATGGAATGTAACCTGGATGGATTGATAGATCGTTTTAGCTTGTGGTCAACGGATTAATCGGACGCAACCCAAGATGCTGCTGCTGATGATGATGTAATGATGATAATGATGATGATGGTTTATGAAGAAGATGATGACGATGATGATGATGGTGTATAAAGAAGATGATGGTGGTGTATGATGAAGATGAAGATGGTGAAAATGATTATGATAATTTTATGACGATGATGATGATGATGTAGTCATGATGATGATGACAGTGGTGGCGATGGGATGATGATTATGATGATGATAAAAAATACAAACACATACAAAGATACAAAGAAATACAAAGAAATACAAAAAATACAAAGAAATACAATAGGAAGGATGGGTGATCAAATATAACAAGAGGCAAATTGACTGATAGATGAGATATGAAATCCAACTCAATATTCCCTGTATGCTTGTGTGTCTCTGTGTGTGTTTGTGTCTGTGTGTCTGTGTGTGTATGTGTCTTTTAGGATTCTTTTGATCCCCATATTGTGATGTTATACTATTTTATACATACATGCATACATATATACAATATACATACATACATACTCCGTACACTGTTAAAATGAAGAAATTTGTATAAAAATGTGACCAAAATAACGACAAACACGAGCAAACCTACGCTGTAAATCACGAGCACAAACAAGCAAGCGCCCATATAATTCATCAATACACACACACAAACAAACACACAAACACACACACACAAATACGACGCCACTCGACACAGAACGACCAAATAATGTTGCAGTCACGTTCTGGTCTTGCAGTAAATTCATCAATGAATCATCCGCGCTCAGCTAGCTACAACGTAATAGAGATTTGGACGTGAGCACTAATAGCCGAAGCGCACAAGTGCATAAAAACTTATTCTCGAGGACACATGAACTTATTATCAAGGACACGTGAACTCTTATTTTCAAGGACACATGAACTTATTATCAAGGACACGTGAACTTATTTTCAAGGACAGGTGAACTTATTATTAAAGGCACAGGTTCTTACTTCTAAGGGCATCTAAACTTTTTTTTAAGGACATGCAAACAGGGGCTGGGGCGGGCATTCTATCATAAAGCACAAAAGAAGTTCGACCACACACACACACACACACACACACACACACACACATACACACACACACAAATATACAGGCAGGCGCACTTATGCATGCAACAGACAAATTTAAATCACAATTGTGACTATATTTGATTGCTCAAATGGTAAGATCTCAAATAATTTTAATATTATTCTTATTATTATTATTATTGTTGTTGTTGTTGCCATTATTGTTATTGTTACTGTGCATTTTATGGCCTCATGATGACGTCATTTGATGTTTTTATGATGTCGTCATTTCCGGTTTCGCCGTTTAAATTGTTGTTTTGCCGGCTGTTGAGGCTTTTTTTGTTGAAAAAAAAAATAAAAATGACAACAACAACAATAAAAATAATAATAGCATTAATAATAATAAAAACAATAGTTACAATAATAATAATAATTTTTTCATATGTTATTTAGGTTGTTGCAAATATTGTTGTCGTTATCGTCGTCTGATTTTGATTTTGTGGTTTTTGAAGCGATCTGTGCTGTTGTTGTTGTTATTGTTGTTGATGTTATTTAGAGTGACGTCATAGTTTTTTGAGTTGTAGTTAATGTCATTTGGGCTGTTGTTGATGTAGTGGTATAATGTAACAATAAACTAGTCAGCAGTAAATAGTCCGTGTGGAGTTTTTGCTGTCATAAACTATTCCGCGTTTTGTTGTTGTTGTCGTTGTTGTGTGTTTTGTCTTTTGTTGCTGTGTCGTTGTTGTTGTTCTAATTGGTGGTGGTGTTGTGTGTTTTGTTGTACTTGGTGTTGTTGTTATCGTTGTTGAGGTTTTTGTTTGTTTATTCTTTATAATAAATGACCAACAATGACCACCAAGTAAATGAAAAAATATTTTTGGTTTTCATTAAAAACAAAACTAACAACGACAAAATTTATTCGTGCTTATAAAGAACTACAAAAATCCCCATAAACAACAGAGTCGTCGTCATCATCATAAACAACAACGTCATTGCTATCATCGTCGTCGTCGTCGTCATCAAAATTCTGGAGGCAGAAAAAACAGAACCAAAAAAATAATTTTTTCAAAATTCGCGGCAAAAAATTTGATTATTTTGTCCATCCTATATTTTTTTTTATCTTTTATAGTTTTTTACGCTTTTCTGATGTTAACATTCTCTCATTTGCGCATTTTCACACACACACACCACACACACACACACACTCTTTCTCTCTTATACTCGTTTTTCTCTTTCTTTCTTTTTCAATTTTCGTTATTTTTTCCTAATTTTTTTCCTTTCTCCTTTCTTTCTTTCTCTCTCTTTCTCTTTCTCTCATTTTTACTTTCGTTCTTTATCTCGGTCCATTGCTTTCTTTATATATTTTCCCTTGTTCCTTTTTCTCTTTCTCTCTCTTTTTTTCTCTCTTTCTTTTTCTTTTTTTTTCTTTCTCTCTCTCTCTCTCTCTCTCTCTCTCTTCCCTGTGTTCTTTCTTCCCATGTTCTCACGCATGACTGCTCGTTAACTTCAAACACTGCTCCATAGAGCATCCATCGGCGAACATGGTTACTGCATTGAACGGAAGAAGGAAGGATGGATGGAACCATTGAGATGAATAAAAGAATGAAAAAATAAACTTTATAGAGATTATTTAATAAAAATTTGAGAAAATAATTTTAAAATTGGTCGAAAAAACATTTGAAAATATGCTATTTTCTCCGTCTTAGCAATTATTTCCGCTTTAAAATGTTTTAAAATTTTCCATCTAAGATAATTATGGCTTTATATAATCAAAAATTCATCCACCCATCCATTTATTTATTCATTCATTCGTTTGTTCATTCATTCATTTCTTTATTCATTCGTTTGTTCGTTCGTTCATTCATTTGTATATCCATTCAATCATGTGGTCATTTATATATAAATTAGTTTTCTATATTTTTTTCATCACAAAAATATATATATATATATATCCATTCATAAATCATTAAAATCATTCATCCATCCATCTCTCTCATTCTTTTTCTCTCTTTCTTTCCCTCTCTCTTTCTCTCTCTTTCTCTCTCTCTCTCTCTTTTTCTCTCCACTTAAATGTCTTATCCATCAACCAATTAACGATCTGTATATTATTTCACCCAATCAGGACAACCGTTTCAGCAAGCGGAGGTGGAGGTGTTTCCGGTTCCGGTGTCATTGACCTCTCGTCCGATGGAAGCTACCAGAAATTGCACCACTACCAGGTTTACAGAGGTCTGTCCCCATCATCCGCCAACCGTCTGGAGGTCTGTCTGAGTTTTGTTTTGTCTGTCTGGTCGCTTATTTGTCTGGAGTAAGCGTGGTTTGTGTGCTTATGTCTGTCTGTCTGTCTGAGTGTTTCAACGATTCATTATTCGTGTGAATTAAAATAGAAATAATTTTAGCATCTTCACGGCAAACATTCATTTGCTAATTCAATTACTTCTACTTTATTGAAGTTTCTTACTCAAAAATTTTCCATTAACTTTACTTCAGCTTATAAAAGATTTCAGATTTCATTTACAAGTTTTGTTTTTTTTATTTTAAAAATTCATTTATTTATTAATTCATCCATCCATTTATTCATTCATTTATTAATTCATTCATTCATTTATTTTGCATCCTTCACTCATTCATGCAGTCGAAATTCAAGGAACTGGAAGAAGCTGCAGAGTACGAAAGGGCTCTCAGACTGAAAGTAATCTAAAAAAATACTTCATAATATTATTCCTCTATATTCGCTTCAAAATTACTAAACTTGGAAAAAGCAGCAGTAGCAGCAGCAGTAGCAGCAGTAGTAGCAGTAGTAGTGCTGATATTAGTAGTGACAGTAGCAGTAATAGTGGTATTAGTAGTAGTAGTGGTAGCAGTAGTGTTAGTAGTAGTATTAGTAGTATAATAGTAGTAGTAGTCGCAGCATGAGTTGTAGTAGCCGTAGTAGTAGCCGCATTAGCTTCAAAGATATAAGCACACATTTTATTACATTGAATTCAAAAGGCTTGAAGAATTATAACGTCTGAAATTGCATGCTTTGCGGTGTATGCATGTGTTGTATGTATGTATGTATGTATGTATGTATGTATGTATGTATGTATGTATGTATATATGTATGTATGTATGTATGTATGTATGTATGTATGTATGTATGTATGTATGTATGTATGCATGCATGTATGTATGTATGTGTTTGTATGAGTGTACGTATTATGGTGTATGTATAAATGTATGTTGTATTGTGGTACTATGCAATTATTTTACTCTTAATGCGTTGTGTTATCAAGTACAAAGTTACTAACGTGTTACTTCATCGTTGTTATGTTACTCATTTAAAAATCCCTTGTAGAACTTTCTTGTTATTTCATTGTTACTTGATATAATTGTTTGCAATTTTACTAAGTACCATGTTCGCTGGTTATTCATTTTTCTACTATGTTCCTTTATGTTACTTGGAAGTTCGCCTACTAAGTTATACTATTCCTTTTAATGCATTTTTACTAAATAATACTATTCGTTTGAATGCATTTTTACTAAATAATACTATTCGTTTGAATGCATTTTTACTAAATAATACTATTCGTTTTAACGCATTTTTTTTATAAAGTTCCAACTTTTAATTAAGAAAAAAGATACAAATGATTCTAGTGAGGTTTCGTGAATGTTCTTCTAATATTTTTTTTGCGATCATTATTTTGGGATTTTTTCTTACATTTGGTGAAACTATTTTTCTCTTTCTTAGGTTCATTCTTTCATCTACTGCATTATCATTCGTTCTTTCATTCGATCTTCATTCATTCATTTGATCTTCATTCATTCATTCATTCATACTTTCATTCATTCATTCAGCACTTCCTATTCATTCTCTTGTTTGTTTATCTGTCTGCCTAGTCGGCCATTGATTTGGTCATTTGCTAGTCTCTTTTACTCATTTATTTAATCAATCGTTTATTCCCTCACTCATTCATTTTTTTATTCATTCATTCGTTCGTTTATTCGTTCATTAGTTGATTTTTTCATTCATTCATACTTGTTTTTTTTGCTTTCATTTATCCAATTCATTCATCCTTTTATTCCTTCCGTTCGTCTTTTTCTTTCTTTCACTCCTTCTTCCTGTTTCTCATTTTTATTTCTTCCCCCTATCCACATACGTTCACTTAATTTGCATGGAGGCATTGCTTTATGCGATTCATTCGCTATTCGCCTCTGCTTCACGTTTGTTTGTATGTTTGAGTATGTGTGTTTGTATGTGTTTATGTTTGTATGTCTGTGTGAGTGTGTTAGTATGTGTGTGTATGTTTGTATGTGTGTATATACCTTCTACACTCGAAAAATACCATTTACGTTTGGAAATTAGTAATGCCACTAGTGCGTAATATTTAATATCTTTGGTACTAATCTAAAAAGTGTACGTCATCGCTGTTACTATGACAACCGTTGTTAGGGGCGTGACGTAATGATCGGTACATCCGTTTGATTGATGACGAAGAAGATGATGATGACGAAGATGATAATGATGAGGAGGAGGAAGATGATGATGATAGTTTTTTAGTAGACAAAAACTGATGTTTGCAAATCGAAGACGGTGATTGTAAATTTAATGAGAATAAACCTAATGAAAACCTTACTACAGTAATGGCAAATAATTCTTTACTACAAAACCCAGCCTCATTATCATAATTTATTCAAATGAACAGGCCGAGAAGGAATTAGCTGATCTGAGTTTCCAGTTTGACAGCTTCACCGAGAGATTGGAGGAATCAGAGGCTACAGCTGCTGCCCAGGTTAGAAATCATGAATATTAATGAGGGCCATGAATGTTAATGAAGGTCATACACAGTAATGAAGGTCATACACAATTATCAATTGCCTCACATTCTGTTTGCTTGTAGTTCGCGGGAACATTCGAAGCCCGCTTCTACAAACAACAAAGGACTATGTGCTATTACACATTACATCATCTTGCCTTTTTTAATAAATATTAATGAAGATCGTAAAAATATTAATGCAACTCATAAATATTTATGAGATTTTAATAGAAACGTTGATATTATCTCCTTGTTGGAAGCAATATTAGTGTGAAGAAGTTATACTGTATTTTTATAGTAATGAATTACACACAAACACATACACATGCACGTGCACATACACACATACAAACACGCACAAACACATACACATGCATATACACATACACATGCAAACACACACAAACACGTACGCGTACACACACACGCACAGTAGATCAAGATATTCTGATCAAGTTGTATGTAGTAATTGGTTACGTGGGCTTCCAATAGTTGACAGCCACCATCGTCATCATTATCGTGATCACCATCTTCATCATCATCATCATTAACATCTTCGTCTTCATCACGTTTAGTTTAGTCTTATCTTTATCGAGATTTAAAACACTTTCATCCAAAAAAATTCAACGAATATCCTTCTCTCTTTTTTTTCCACATTCAGTTTCATACTTTCTTTCTAAATTTTTATCACCATTGCAACTTTCATCATCATCATCGTCATCATAATCATCATTATCGAGATTATGACCACCATACCAACAACAACAGCAACAACAACAACAACGACAGACAACAACAAAACAAAAACAAACAAATAACAAGCAAACCAAGTATGCGATCCTCCATTTAACAAACTATAACACAACTACATATGCGCTATTTAAATATACATTCATATATCATGTATGTATAACATACATGATATATAATATATATATACCTGGCTTGACCTATATAGGCGTACGCACGTGACCTGTGACCTATTTAATGGCGAGCTTTTTGTGATGGTGTCCATCAAACTTCTGCTTCGCCTCGTGCTTCATCATCATTTGCTCGGACTCCTTTGTCGTTGCTGATGATGATGACGATGACGATGATGATGACGACGACGACGATGATGATGTAGATGATGATGAAGACGCCGATGATGATGGTGTTGTTATTTATGTTAACAATGTAGCCGTTAGGTTGATGCTCTGGAGAGTGTTCATTTTATAAAGGTTAAATTTAATATGCAAAAAAAGTTTTTACCATAAAATAATTTTCACCATATAATTAAATAATGAACTGACATATTATAATGTAATATTATAACTATAATAATGACGTCACGAACGCGTCAACAACAGAGCGAACTGGCCAGACGCCGCGAGTACGAGCTGCAGAAGTTGAAGAAGGAATTTGAGCTGTTGAGCATCCAACATGAGTCAGCTGATGCTGCCCTCAGGAAGAGGCACCAGGAGATCGTATGCGAGTTGACTGAACAGCTGGAGATGCTGAACAGGAATAAAAATAAGTTAGCCTCTCTCTCTCTCTCACTCTCCTCTCTCTCTCTCTCTCTCTCTCTGTGTGTGTGTGTGTGTGTGTGTGTGTGTGTGTGTGTGGTGAACATCATCCTCGTCATTATCGTCATCATCACTTTTTAGAGGCGACAAAGACAAGCAAACATTGACCATTGAAATCGAGACCATGGCAGGACTCCTGGAAAACTCCAACAAATGCAAGGTTGCCTCGCCATCTCTCACCTATTATTTATTTATTTATAATTATTTATACGTGTAAAATATTTAAGACCATAATTAATAACATTATTTGAGAATAAAATAATAAATGATGTTGCATATTGAAGCCTCATCACACCCACAATGAACATCTTTCAGCTCGTGGCAGAATCAAAACTGAACAGCCAGGAAGACATGATCCGCAAGCTGAAGGCTCAAGTAGACGAGTTGACCCGCCAGAACCACGATTTGGCATCGGCCAAGGCCAGACTGACCCAGGACAACCACAACCTGATGCACCAGGTACAGGATCTAGACAGGAGCAACGCTGACCTCGCCAAGGCCAAAGCCCTCCTCCAGCAACAAGTTGATGACCTGAAGAACAGACTGGATGAGGAGTCGAGGGTTCGTTCAACTGCTTGATGAATTGTTCACTTCGTTTATTTTGTTCTGTTCAAAGTTTGAAAATTTGTATTTGAGTAAATGACATAAAAAAAACAAATTGAAAGATTTTGAAAATATGCGCAACATAAATAATTTGCCTGCCTTGACGAAAAAACTTGAGCGTACGACCTAACAAAACTGGACGGAAAACATGCACACTAGCACACTCTCACACTCATGCATATCACACGTACACATAGACGCATACACACACACGTACACACACACACACACACACACACACACACATAGTTGAGAGAACAGCTGGCAGCACAGCTAGCCAACTTGCAAGTGGACTTCGAGAGTTTGCAGCTGAAATATGACGAGGACACTGACGCTCAGGGCAACCTCCGCAACCAGCTGCAGAAAGCTCTGGCCGACTACCAGGCCCTCAAAAGCAAATACGATAGTGAAATCGTTGTCGTCACTGAGGAACTCGAAGACACCAGGTTCCATATGTTACAATTTTTTTCAAATAGATATAAAGTTGATTAATCTCCAACAAACTTTACGTACAAAACTATTCAAAACTAATTCTGTTGCAGACGCAAGCTGTTGGCCCGCGTGACTGAATTGGAAGAACTTTTGGAGCAGGCCAAGTTGAGAATCATCAAACTTGAGAAGGACAAGAGCAAGTTCCAAATTGAAATCAGAGACATCTCCATTGAGTTGGAATCTGTTAGCTACTTGCTTAATAAATTTTAAATAATTTACTCAAAAATCAGTTTTTTAATTATTTGTATTAAATTTCAATAATTACTCAACTTTATTTCACATGTTGAAATGTATTCATTTAATTAGTTCATCTACCCGTTGATAAATGTTGATGCGATCGCCACAAACAAACCTGACCTCAGGCACACGCCAATGCCAACGAGCTCGGCAAGAAGTTGAAGGGTGCCGACGGATTGGGCAGTGAGTTGCAGAAACGTGTTGAGGAACTGACCATCGAACTGTCCAACTCAAATGGAGACAACCAGAGACTCATCGCTGAACTCGGCCGCCTCAAAGCACTTCTCAAAGATCTCGAAGAGAAGAACGATGGTCTGGCCAGAGAGAACAAACAACTTTCGGGTTAGCTTTGCTACCAGTTTATTATTTCGCAATGCATTCACATTAATTTAACTTTTAAAATTTAGCATTTTTTACATCAATTAAATGAAATTATTTAAAACTTTCATAGAAGTACATTTACCGCACTTTTAGTAATGAAACAAACCTGTGGCAACCAACCTTTCAGATGCACTCCGCGAAGCTCTCAGCCAGAACAAAGATCTTTCGCACAAACTGCACGACGTGCAAGCCAGGAAGCAACAGCTGGAAGGCGAGAAGGACGCCCTGGCTCTCGAGTTGGCCGAAGCAAACGACGCCCTGAAGGACGCCCTCTCAAGACTTGAAGCCGCTAACAACGCTCTCAGTCAGCTCAGAGCTGAACTGGAACGTCGTCTGCGCGAGAAGGATGACGAGATCGACAACATCAGGTGACACTTATTTAAGCGCTTCATTCTTTAGGTTTGAATTTGGCATAATAATAATTTTGAAGATGAAATTTGTTTGCCTTATTAATAATTTACTCTTTTTTAATGAAATAGTTGCGATTTTTCAATTGCATTGCATTCATTGCATCTATTGACTGAAAGAATTTGAATTGTTAGAAAAGCGAGCCAGAGAGCCATCGAAGAACTGCAGAGAGCGATCGCAGAGATTGAGAACAAGTACAAAGCAGAAATTGCGAGGTTGAAGAAGAAGTTCGAAGGAGACATTCGCGAATTGGAATTGCAACTGGAGAACCTCAACAGAGCAAATGCTGACCTCGCTAAGAACAACAAAGCTCTGATCGCTAAGATTAAAGTTAGTGAATAAATATCAATTGCTTTCATCAACTGTGAAATGAAAGTTGAAAAAATTTATTAGAATCGAAGTTTGAAAAAAATAAGTATTTAAAAATTGTTCATAATAATGAAGTTTGGTGATGTTTTAAAACAAATGAGCCGACAACTGCCAACAGTACAAACTATGAAAACTTCTACACAGGAACTTGAACTTGCATTGGACGAGGAACGTCGTCGCGCAGAGGAGGCCAGACAGGCAGCTGCTCTCCTCGATAGGAAGAGGGTGGCCCTGCAAGCCGAACTGGATGATCTCAGAGGATTGCTGGAAGTGGTGGGTACATCATCTTTTATTCATTCCATTCCGATGTTCAACGTGAAATAATAATTTTCATTGAATTGTTGATAGCATCAAAAACTAGCAATATATAATAGCAACAATTAGTAATAGTAATTAACAAAACTTTAAAAAACTGCCAGGCCGATCGCGGTCGCAAAGCAGCAGAGTTGGAGCTGAGCGAGGTGACGACCAGAGTGAACGAACTTTCCGTCACGCTGTCCAGCTCAACGTCCGACAGACGCCGCTTCGAGAGCGACATCGCAGGTTTGCACGCCGAACTTGAAGAAGCCCTGTCAGCCAAGAGAGCCGCCGAGGACCGCGCCGATCGTCTGCAAGGTGAACTCGGCCGCTTGGCTGACGAGCTGAGACAAGAGCAGGACAACTACAGAAACGCCGACGGAGCCAGGAGGGCCTTGGAAGTCGAAATCAGACAACTGGCCGTCAAGCTGGAGCAGGCTGAAGCATTCGGACAGCGTGAAGCCAAGAGAATCGTTGACAAATTGCAGTCAAGAGTAAGTTTATCCTGTCTTGAATTTTTATATTCAATATTTGATCATCGACATAAGTTGAATTTATGAAAAACTTTAAACTTTTTTAATAATTAATGGACCAGTTAAATAAGTTCCAACGCTAACCTAACCCCACCATCACATCACATCACACACGTAAATGGCAGTTGCGCGACCTGGAGACTGAATTGGAAGCCGAACAGCGTCGTTCACGCGACTTGACAGCAGAGGTCCGCAAGTTGCAGCGTCTGCTGCAAGAACAGAAGACGCAATCTGATGACGACCGCCGCATCGCCGCCGAACTCAGCGAGCAAGTCATCGCACTCACCAACAAAGTCAAGATACTCAAAAAACAATTGGAAGAAGCCGTGAGTGGTGATTCAAAATAAAATTAATTTTAAATTATGATGAACACAATTTTAACTTTTGGCACTTCCTTACGTATTTACGATAATTACCATTAAATGAATTTGTCAAAACACTTCAGAATGTGACAAAAAAACTTCAAAATGTGTCAAAAATTAGGAAGAAGTAGTAGCCATAACGATGAACAAGTACAGGAAAGCTATGCAGCTGTTGGAGGAAGCTGAACGTCACCATCACGACGCCGAGAAATCAATTGTCGTTCAAAATGGCCCGAAAGGTAGCAGGTCCATGTCTGTCACTCGTGAAGTCACTCGCGTTGTTAGAGTTTGAGGTGAGGAAGAATTTTTTGGTTGTTGTTGGTGGTGATTGTTTCGCCGTTGTCGATGTTGTTGGTTGTTGTATGTTGTTGTTGTTTGTTGTGGTTGTATATTTTTTTAGTTGTACGTTTCGTTGGTGTTTGCACCACTGTGTTCTTGATATTTTCAACGTTGTTCTTTCGTAACTTTTGTTGATGTTTCTCACGTAACATTGGCTTCAACATAAATTTTAAAAGTAAATTATTTAAAATAAATTGACAATTTACTTTCCAGACTTCCTGAGCTGGTATCGAGATTTGAATCATCTTCGATATTTTCAAACATAACTCCTTTCATTAATTTATTACCAATTAACCACGTTGCACATTACATTTGTCATTATGGTTTACTAGTGTTTCAATTAAATATTCTTTTTTACCGTTTCTTAAATTCAGAAGTTAATTTTATCTCGCCTATTTTTTTCAATAATTTCATTATTTTATGTTCTCAGTAAGTGTGTGTATATACAGAATGTATATAGACACATGCTACGTCACTTAAATCAAAGAATTTATAAGGTAATTTATATTTTATGATTTCTTTGTGAATATTTTTCATTTGTGGGTATTAGGGGTGTGCCTACAGCCTAATTAATTAATTAACTAATTGATTAATTAATTATTCGTAACCATTTTAAGATCTGTCTTGAAATATGAAAAAAGAAAAAGAAAAATGTTGTTTGTCTGGCTTCTTTGAAATTAATTACAATAAATCGTTCACAGTATGCCATCTTAAAGTCAAAATTATGCGATATAATGGTTATACCACGTAGGAGTAACATTTTTAATGGCTCAATATCTGATCATTCATATTCGCGTTTATAACACCAAACTGGGCGAACAGATTTTTAAAAGAAATTTAAAAAATTAACCCACTTGTATGAAGCGTCAGTTAAGCATAAAAAATATGATTTAATACATGAGAACGCTGGTACTGACACACAGTAAAGACACATACACGCACAAATGCAAAGTATAGTAGAACTATACAGTTCAATGAACTTTTTTTCGGAAATTTCCATCTTAAGTAATGAAAATTTTCCAAAAATTTTTTCACTACAATAATTTGTTTGAATAACTAAAATTTTCTAAATGCATCCATTGCTATGATGATGTAATAACTGTAATAATTGCAAATTATATATCTCCTTATCACTTATCATATATATCTATATACATATAAATGTGTATATACCTATTCATATAAGAACCAGTTATTTATATGTAGATACATTCATAACCTATATAATACCTCATTTATATGGATACATTACTGCGTATTAATATTTAAAATTGCAAAAAACTAGCAAAACTTGACATTTAGATAATTAACAGTCACTAACATTCACTTGTAAAACCTCAAATTTTAAATATAATAACGATTTTATGTGAAATAGTGAGGGATTAGTAAAAAATTAAGTAGCGTAAAATTTTAAGCTTATTAAATTTAAACTTAAGTTTAGTTTTAAGCTCTTTATTCTCTCATTACTAATTAGTGACTTTAATCGTTTGTCGGCTTTGTCTCATAAACAAATAAAAAGTTATTTTCGGCTATTTGTTTTATTAAATAAATAAAAAAATCGGTTAATTTTTATAAGTTATGTTGGCGTTTTTGCATAGAATTCTTGATTGGTTTAAGAATGTTTTCTGGAAGGAGGAGATGGAGCTAGCACTGGTTGGCCTACAGAATTCTGGCAAAACTACTTTCGTCAACGTCATCGCGGTATATTGTGTGTGTGTGTGTGTGTATGTGTGTGTGTTTTGTGGATTGGAAGATTTATTTAATAACTAATTTAAACTCATTATTATATTATTTATTTTTTTAAGAATATTCTTTTATTAATTATAATTATTATTATCATTCTTTCCTTTTTAAATTGAACAAACAAAGGCCGGAGAGTTTAGTGAAGACATGATTCCCACTGTCGGTTTCAACATGAGAACGGTCACCAAGGGAAATGTAACAATTAAGGTGACTTATTCATTTTGCTATCCAGTTGCATTTAAATTTTTAAATTTAGTACAAAATCAAAATTAGATAATTAGCACTACATTTAAATTTTTAATAATATTACTAATAATATAATAATATAAATAATTTTATTTTCATTTTTCTAAGATCTGGGACATTGGTGGCCAACCTAGATTCAGGAGCATGTGGGAAAGATACTGCAGGGGGGTCAATGCCATCGTGTAAGTACCAGAATTCGTAATTTCATTATTCAAATTATTTTTTTATTTAATTGCTGATATTTATAATTTTATTGTAATTTTTATTTTTTCCCCCATAATGGTTCTTAGCTACATGGTCGATGCAAGTGATCTTGACAGGATAGAGGCATCTAAGAATGAACTTCACAACTTACTGACAAAACCTCAGCTAATAGGCATACCGGTTTTAGTGCTTGGCAATAAAAGGGATGTGCCTAACTCACTCGACGAAAAAGATATGATCGAGAGAATGTTAGTGGGTGGGAGGTACTTTTACTATTGTGGCTCGAGGATAAGGAAATTTTTGTTGCTGAAGTTATCATTGATTTATTATTATTTATTATTATTATTACTATTTATTATTATTACTATTTATTATTAATATTACTCATTTATTATTATTATTATTGATTAAAATTTTTTCAGGAGTTTGTCCGTGTTTCAAGATAGAGAGATATGCTGTTATTCCATATCATGCAGAGAGAAAGATAATATAGGTGTGTATGTGTGTGTACTTGTGTGTGTGTGCACTTGTTTGTGTGTGTGTGGGGGGGGGATTGTTGTTTATGTTATTAGTTTTTAAAATTTGCAAGTTAAATTATTAACCCTTTTAGCAATGAGTTTTTACATTAGCTGCTGGCAATAATTAATATGTTTATATTTTTTCATTCATTTTTCGTTCATTCATTTATTCGTTTATTCATTCATCATGCTATTGATCCAATTACATTTACATGTTTAAATTGCTGGCTGATTAATAATTTATTCATTCATTCATTCGCTCATTTTTTAATTTGTTAATTATTTCATCTGTTACCTTCATCATTCTCAAATTTATATTTATTTACTATTCTTATATTTATTTCATAATTTTTTCAGACATAACCCTTCAGTGGCTCATTCAACATTCCAAATCTAAACGCTAAAGATTTTACAAATAAAAATAGTAATAATAATAATAATCATTATTATATTATTATTTTAATATTATTGTTATTTTTTGTCCTGTTATTAATTAGAGACTAGACTAAAACAAAGAATGATAACAATTTTGTACGAGTGCATTCAACTTGGGATGGGAAGCATGTTCTAAAGTAAAGTGATATTGAATGAAAAAGATTGATTGATTGATTGATTAGTTGGTTGATTGATTAGTTGGTCGATTGATTAGTTGGTCGATTGATTCAGTTTAGTTCCTGAAATTTATTATATATTCTTATTAGATATAGAATGATCTAACACACTCTTCTGTTTGGTTATGTTACTGATTGGTTTATAAACATCACGATTGACCAGTGGACTGATTGTTTGATTGACCGGTTGAATGATTGATTGATAAATTAGTTGATTAATTGATTGAATGATTGAGGTGTCTAGAGTACAGACTTCTAAATTGTCTGGTAATTAGTTCATTTGTTTGATAAAAAATTTTCATATTTTTTCAATCTCATTATATTGTGTGTGCGCGCGCGCGTGTATGTGAGTGTCTCAACTATGATAACATTACTATTCAGTATACATTTGATGATTCATTTATGTTATTACTCATTAGGTTACAAGGTATGTATGTTTGTGTATGTATTTGCTAGTGTTTATTATGTGTTTGTTTGTTTGTATTCATTGTTTTCATCCCTTCTCAACACGTGGTATGGACATGTGTTGAGAAGGGATGAAAGGGTCGGGATTAGGCGAGCGTTGGAGTTCGAGGTTGAAGGAGTGGTAGGAAGGGGTCGTCCGCGATTGGGATGGAGAGAGTAGGTGGAGAAGGACAGAGTGAAAGCGGGGTTGCGTGATACTGAGGCGAGTGACAGATGTGGATGGCGTCGAGGGGTATTTCGGTTTCATCCTAGGTAGCCAAACGGCAACCCCCGATCTCGGGGAAAATGTCGTCTAAACGTGTGTTGTTGTTGTTGTTGTTTGTATTCACGTTTTTATGTGATTGTATTCATGTCTATTTATGTTTGGTCTGATGTATTTATGATGCTATATACATGTTTTTATTGGCGTCCCCATGCATGTACAATTGTTTATATGTACGTAAGTTTTGTATTTATGTAGGTATGTTTGTTTTGTTAGTATGTATGTTTTCTTTGTTTGTAATCATACATTTGTATCTATCTGTATGTATGTTTCTGTAATCATGCATTCGTATCTATCTCTATGTATGTTTCTGTAATATATTGTAAAAGAAAATTCATTAAGAGAGTTAACAACTGAGATAGAAAGCTAGTCAGCATCTTTTGTGTGTGTGTGTGGTGTGTGTAGTCTATTTGTTAACTTGTATTCACCAATCTTAATATCTAAGTCTGTGTGTGTGTGTGTGCGCGCGTGTGTTTACTTTTTCACAAGTCAAATTTAATCCATTTATATTTATCAGGAAATTTTGCAGATGATAAACTCATTTTGTGTTTTTTTTCGTGTGTTTATTTTTTAAAGATATACATTATCTTTTTGTGTTTGTGTTCTTCTACTTTTCTCAGTTTTTTGGATACCAATCATCACTTTTATAAACCATCTTAATGGCTATAGATACTAATGTTCATCGCGTGTGTGTGTGTGTGTGAGTGTGTGTGTACGTGTATAGCACTGATGAATATTTACTGTAACTAAAGTACTAAATACTTAATGCAGAGTTACTTAATCTAGTATTTTTTCATTTCGCTATTTATTTATTTATTTATATTTCAATACTTTAATGATTGATAGTAATTTTATTTTAACCAAAGTGAGGTATTTTTTTCCCGTTACATGCCATCACAGTTTTTTTTGTCGTTTCAATTTTTTGTCATTTTTTTTATTCCGTCTCTCAATCCACTATTTTTTTATGTTTAATTTCCGTGCTGTATAGTTTTCCGTACTGTGTTGAATCGATGTTTCACGTGTACCAAACATTTTGATGTGAATATTATTAAAGTACTTATATATATATATATATATATATATATATATATACATATATATATATATATATATATAGACATATTTATTTGACTATTTTTAAAGTTATGGAATTATAAAAATTTTTAGTTCATTCATTTTAAAGTCATGTGTACTTTTTTATTAAATTTTTCTCTAAAATTAAAGTTCACTTTTGTATAAGCGCTTTAATTATTCACTTAATTAATTAATTACTTAATTGGTTGAATGTTCTTACTTGTCTATAGTTCTAATCATCAACCATTTTTTCCTTACAGCTACATTCAATCAAAGGCTTCCACCTATATTCCATGTTAACCAAACATGCTTTGAGTCTTATCATATTATCTGCCAATTTCAATAACAGGTAATATAGACAATATCAAAGCAACTAACGATATATCTATTGATATATCTCTAGTAGTATATCTAATAATGTCAATAAACAACATGATATCCGTATCTATACCTATTATCACCGATGTTATGTTATGCTTTATTTAGTGCATTCAATGCGAATTTGCCGCTAGAACTGAGTTTGTTGACTTTTAACTTAATGTAAACTAAAAGAAACTTGCACTGATAATAAAACACACGTGTGTGTGTGTGTGTGTACGTGAACATGTGTGTGTGTGTGTTCACGTACACACGCACACATATAGAGGAACACGTATGAGCACACACATGCAACACTGAATGATTATATTTAGTGAAACATCTGGTCCGCGTGTTAGCAAACCTTGTTATAGTAACATTTTTAACGTGTTAATAGTTGATGGATTTATTGATTGGTATGTATAATTAAATATTTCAATAACGAATTTTTTTTTATTTCATTTTTTACTAACGACACTACCAAATATAAAATCAATTTTCTTCTTCATTATCTCAACTCGTATTCAATAAATTTTTTCAAATTGAGCCAAGGATTTATTCATTTTGGAAAAGCGTTATATATTAGAAAAGCGTAAAATTCAGTCGACATGAAGTTCATTCTTTACTAACCGTTAAATGGTTGATGATTTTCGAAGCAATTTCGGTAGGACTCTCACATATATCAATACACACGTATTCAAACTGATTAGCAACATTGTTATCAGTCGTAGTGGTAGGCAGTTCTAAAGTGTCAAATTGGGATTGTAGCAAGTTAGCTGACATGAAATGGTTTTTCCTGTTTGAAACTCTTTCACCAATCAACTCTATACTACCTTGCAAATGAAAGAAAATTACGGATTTGCAAAGGTTTACATTTTCTAAACTACTGTTATTACTACTTGTTTTGTCTTCTGTAATTTTACTACTGCTACTGCTTATTTTTTTCTCAATAGTAATTTTACTGATGCTATAAGTGCCGCTTTCAAAGTTGTCAGTTGCCGTGGTAACGTAAGAAAAAGATTTGTCATCTTTATTAGCACGGAGATCTACATATTTAACATTGCCGTCACTGTGAATCAAGCTTAAATCTGTACATTTCATTGAAGCAGCAGAAGTTTCGTGCTCGCTGCTAATAACATTCGTGGCTGTAGTAAAATTCGCTGCAGAATTTTCTGAAGTGTTTTTTGGTTCAATGTTGGGTAGTTGATCACCATACATTAGAATGTTTCTGTATGAATTTTTTAAAGCGGAGCAGGCAATGATTATGTCTGAATTTTCATGGCAAGCTCTGCATTTTGAATTAATAAATTGTAAGTAACGTTAATGGCTAAATCTTTCATGGAACAATATCATATTACATAAAAGATTTAAATGTTGAGAGATTATCTGTTCAACATTCCTTTTTAACATTGAGCAAATAGCAGAATAATTTTTTAAAACTTGACTCAACTGTTTCATTAGGTGATGAATTGACAAGAGCCAAGGGTACCTATCCTGAAATTAATATTCACTGTAAGTGAATGAAATATCAGGAATAGCATAAAAATCATTGATCAAACTGCAAGAAAATTAGGGACTCCAGTGTTATTAAACGTCCATATACATACTCGATCATTAAGTGGCACTCCTTTTAACATTTTTTCAACATTTTTGACTGTATGTAAATCATCAGCGTCGATAAAACGCCATCCTAACTGAGTGGAAAATTTCAGAAATGTCATTAAGTCTACATTTTAGCTTGGATATCATCTATTTTACAGTTAAAATGATAAAAATTACTTTAAAAATTTGAATAAAACTATAATACAAACTTTCTTAGATAATTCATGGCCGACAGTTGTTCTGAAAAATGTAAATTTTGATATTTTGAAAACCAGTTTGTGCTGATTGTAAATTGTTTGACAGAGAAAGCGTTGAAAATTCATACTTGCCAGATCCAGACACTCCCATCAGAATAATAATCATTTTAATTCAAATTGTTAATTGAAAAAGCTTTTTGTTACAGCAAACGGAGTTCGGACCAAGTTGTTACCTGGTATAAGTTTCAAGCCATATATATAGAATATAACATCAATACAATATAGAGTATATATTCTATGTATATAGTTTCATGTATGGATCTGAGGATGGCAGATTTTTTTTCATTATGGCATATCTTTAGCCAACACTCTATGCAGGTAAGTAGCTATTTTTGAAGTATTTTTCATAAAAAAATGATATTTTGAACACTAATTATGTGTTTTTAGAAGCCCAAAAATAGGTGATACTATTTGAAAAAACGAGCACTGCTATTGTGGGGCAAAATATATTTCTTGAATTGACTTTTCTATGATATGGTGTCTGTGTTTGTTTACGATAAAGCGACATGGCCGTCTTCAACAGTGCTGGATATGCCGTGCATGCATCGTCCGGCGAAGTAGGAAACGCCCCCACCACCAACCAGAACGTCATCATGCGACGGATGATCGTAAAACGGCCAGTCCCTGTTTCCTGGGCCAACAACTTACCCCAGTTCATATTAGAATATCTCTTCTCCTACCTCAGCGTTGAAGACCTGAGGAATTGTGCACTTGTCTGCACCAAGTGGTACAAGTTAGTAGTTAGTTGGTCTTGTTAGTTACCTACCTAACTCTCATCTAACTAGATTTTTCTGTTTAGTGAAGGTTTTGAATACTTATCTTAAATAAATAATTAACTGAATTTAGTTTAATTAAATTGCTTGCATTTAGTAATTTAGTTAGGTTAGGTTAGTTAGGTTAGAACATCATATTGTTGTTTGTAGTTGTTAGGGTTAGGGTTAGTTAGTCCTGTCGGTTTTCACGCATAAATAAGAAAAACATTATAATTTATTTATCTTTATTAATTTAGAATTAAGCCATCAATCTCACAGAATCTTAAACGATGAGAACAATGACGTTTGGAGGCTGCATTGTGTACACAAACTTGCTCAGGAAGCTCTCAACTCCGACCTACTAAGCCACATTCCATCCTACAAAAACAAACTGCGGGCATTTTATTATGCCTGGAACCCTAATGATTGCTCCAGAAATATTTACATAAAAAGCAATGGTTTCACGCTACATAGAAATCCCGTTGCACAAAGTACAGATGGGGCCAGGAGTAAGTTAGGATTTAAAAATGGCAGGCATTGTTGGGAGGTGCATAATTTTAATTTATTGACCATTTCTAAAGTGTTTACTTTTTTATTTTATGTAAATTCTGTTCCTATATTGCTCTATTGCAAAATCTCTTTCATACATATACTTTTAGAAATTTAGAGTTAAAAATCAATAGATATTTTATAAATTTGAAGCTGGTTTAAAAAAAAAACTATAAAAATTCTCCCTAAAAATTGTACCTAGGTATGGTGGGAGGGTCCTTTAGGTACGGTGGCAGTGGTGGGCATCGCAACAAAGGCAGCAGCCATGCAGTCTCAGGGTTACCTTCCTCTCCTGGGCAACGATACCGAAAGTTGGGGCTGGAATCTGGTGGACAACCATCTACTCCACAATGGAGATGCCCAGGGAAACTACCCTGTTATCACTACGCCACCCACCTATCAAGTGTGCCTCCTTCTCTTTGCTTGCTTGCTACAGTTTTTATCTTAATTTTTTTCAGAAATTTATTTATTTAAAAAAATTTATTTTTCCTTCGTCTACTGTCTTTCTTTGATCTGTTTTATGTGTTATTTAGCTACTTGATCGTTTTAACCAAGTTCACTTTTAGGCATTATGAATTTAAGATTTTTTTTGTTCAGTTTTTTAAAAATTTGTTGCACAGGTCGGTGAAAAAATAAGAATAATCCTCGATTGTGATGACAACACATTAGCATTCGAAAAAAATTACGAATTCTTAGGTACTTTTGCATTATTATTTCATCTTTGTTTTTTTTTTAAATAAATCCTTTATATTCTTTGAATTATTTATATAAATGAAAAATATTAATGAAAAATACCATCTCCAAATTATGATAAGTCTAGATAATAATAATTATTATTGATTAAATTATTTTGGTAAATTCTTTCCTAATAAATTCTCAGATGTCAACACACACATACACACACGCGCGCGCGCACGCACATACACAAATACATCGCATGTTGGAAAATGCTTTATAAAAAATAATCTGTCATTTTAATGACAATCAAACTCAGTCGTACAACATTTTAAACATCAATCAATCAAGCAAATTAATAAATTTAAAAATTCAAATATGATCTATTATTTCCATTAATTTTTGTAAAATTTTTCATTCGTCACTAGGTATCGCTTTTAAAAATTTACCAGACGTCAAACTATACCCAGCCGTGTCAGCTGTCTATGGCAACACCGAGGTGTCCATGGTGTATCTAGGCCAGCCCTTGGATGGCTGATGTTTATTATTATTGTTATTATTATTATTATTATATCTATTATTATTATTATTATTAATATTATGGTCGTTTTGTTTCATTATTATTGTTGTTATAATTGCTGTTGTTTATTATTTCGTTATCTATTATTATTTGTAACTATTACCCTGCATAATTAACATTCGTTCCAGTCTTATTATATCAGTTTATTTATAAATAGTTGTTTCATGGAATTAAGTTCTTTTTACAAGTGTTAAGCAAACACACACGCACAACACATACCGACACACACACTCACACATATATATATATATATATATATATATATATATATATATATATATATATATATGTGTGTGTGTGTGTGTGTGTGTGTGTGTGTGTGTGTGTGTGTGTAAATATACATATACCGTATTTGTTATATAATAGTCTGATTATTAATTCATCTAGTCATATATACATTCCATTTTATTCATATATATGTATATATATGTATATCAATATATATATTTATATTTAACTATGTATATATATATTTATTTATATATATATATATATATAAATATATTTATATATGAATCCAATATTTGACAATAATTGTATATAATTTATTACTTTTATATGTAAATCTCTCTCTTCCTCTCTCTCTTCCTCTCTCTCTTTCGCTCTCTCTTCCTCTCTCTCTTTCGCTCTCTCTTCCTCTCTCTCTTTCGCTCTCTCTTCCTCTCTCTCTTTCGCTCTCTCTTGCTCGCTCTCTTTCGCTCTATCTTCACATGCATACATCTTTTTATATATCTATTCTTATATATTCTATTTATTTATTTATTTATTACATTTCCCTTTTCATTATTTGTTCATAGGCATCAAACAACAACAGATACGCAGTGCATGGCACTTTACAATTACACAATAATATAGTGTATATAAATATTCTATATATATATATATATATATATATATATATATATCTATTCTATATATATATATATATATTCTATATATATATATATATATCTATATATATACTTATATATATTCACCCATATATATATATATATATGTATATATATAATGTATGCAAATTAGCATTACAATGTTTCAATGTCTTTATCAGAGCTCTTAATGCTAATGTCATTATTTTTTTATAATTAACAATATCACAATTGTTATTATTTCTATTTCTATTATTGTTATTGTTGTTGTTATTGTTGTTGTTGTTGTTTTTGATCGTAATTTGTTACCTACGCTTGTATAAATAGAATTAAGGAATTTTCTAGTTACATACGCTGTAAAGTGCCCTATCATTACATTACATATTGATCTAATTAATATTAATTAATTAATTTGGATAAGATTAATTGATCTAACAGACCGATTAATTAAATCTAGACTAATTGATCTAGTTTATATCAATTAATTAATTAATGTTAATTGAATTTGTTTGGGTCTGAGTTATTCAGTCATCAAGTCAATCTTTCTTTATTTTTCTCTCTCTCTCTTTTTCTTTCTCTCTCTCTCTCTCTTTCTCTCTGTGTGTGTGCATTTAAATGTTGCCGTGTTATAGATATTATTTTTATTTTTTTGTTTTTGTCCAGTTTTTCTTTGTTTTGTTGGTTTTTTGTGTATATTTTTTTATTTGTTTTTCCAATTTTCCATTGCCGTGTTTATGCTTCATGAAATATGTTAATAAGTTAATAAAATTGTGTGTATATATATACATTTCCTTGTGTGTGTATGTTTTTGTGTGTGTGTGAGTGTTTGTGTGTGTTTGTGTGTACATACAAAATCACAAATGTATATGTGTAATAATTATAATTTATTGTTTTATTGCGTTAGTATTCAACATAATAATAGTATTTTAGTAACGTTAATTTTAATACTGTATCTATTTATCGATCTCTTTCTTTCTCTCTCTATGTATCTGTCTTTTTGTCTATCTAACTATCTATCTGTCTGTCGGTTTGTCTGTCTGTTTGTCTGTCTATCTATCTATCTGTCTGTCTGTCTATCTATCTATCTATCAATCTATCTATCTCCACGATAAGTAATTTTGTTGATATATTTAAATAACTTTTGTTCAACTTGAATGATATGCCATTAGAGATAAAATGTGTATTAGACTATGGACGCACGCATACACACACACACACACACACACACACACACACACACATATATATATATATATTTATTTATATTATTTATATGTATGGATTGATACACCAAAATCAAAATTTTGTTATTCACTTTTCTAATACGAACTAGTGATTCACTATTCTAATGCAAATATTACTGTCACTTATATTTCAATTATTCCTGCTAATGCTACTGCTACACATGTTAATGTCGCGTGATGTTTAGTTGGCCTATTATTGTTATCACTTCTCACCTTCTTGTTTCATCATTATTATTGATCTTATCTTTGTGAAAACATCTCTGAGCCCTCTGTAACTTATCTCTGATGGATTTTAAGTGAGGTTTTGTTGAACTAAATGCCGTTAAGATGTGTTTCCGCTCTTATGTGTTAATTGGAGTGGATTTTTGAGAGATTGTATTCAATGTTTATACAAAACTCGACCCTTACACAGTTGTATATAACATCTACACCCCACACACAGAACGTATATACAGGTTTCAATGCACTTGCAAGCTTCCTATCACACGCATGTTTATAATATTCTTTGAGTTTTGCCCAGCCAGCATTCGAACCACATCAGCACGCAATAAAAAAAAAATTGCACAGCACTTTTGCCGTCTGCGCTAGCTCGCTGACCTGTGGTTATTTGTGGGTTACTTGTGATTTCATAGTGATCATGACCATGAATATTTTTTTTCATAGTTTATCGATGTTTTCAAATAAATCATGAATTGATTTTGTTATCATTGTTATATTGATTTTTTTAAATTATCATTATTTATATTATTGCTGTTGTTGTTTCCAGACAGAATGAACGCTCCATCGTTCGCGCTTCTATTCCATTTCCGCTATTCCATGTATTTTACGTTTTTGAAAAAAATATTATTTAAATAATTAAACCAATGAACACTTTATTTGGCTGTATACAGGCACACACACACACACACACACACGCAGATATATATATATATATATATATATATATATATATATATATATATATATATATATATATATACACCTCGCTTTTGTTAATATACTTATTTGACATTGCAATGTCGCATAAATGTCTGTTTAATTGTACATATATTGTATATGTCTTATAATATTTCTAATATAACTAATAAATATTAAATATTTTGATGTCGGTCTTTTGATTTTGGGCATGGTAAAATGCTTCAAATTTTTAATAAGATCTTTAATACCATGTGTGCCTTGAACGATATTTTCACATCTACAACCAGTTTTTCCAAGCTAGCATCTTACTGCTTAAAACTTCGGTTTCATTGACGAAGTCCGGAACATTCCAAAAGTCCCACTCTATTTAGAGTTTAGCCTTCAGGATTCCTGTTTCGATTACACAGAGGTGTGACTGCTATCACTGTACCATTGGTACATCCCTTGCTCTAGTTTGATGTTAGAGTTCTCGCTGTATTGAATGCTTTCTGCAAACTGTCTGGAAATGGTATTTTATTCTGGTTTTATCTAATTAAACCTGTATATATGTTCTGGTATAAATATATACATGTGAACAAATAAGTTGTTGTAAAAGTAGCCAACTAAAAATGCGTCCTTAAGTAATTGGCATTTGTCGACTAAAAGTAAACTTACATTTGACTGTTGATTTGGGCATATTTTAATTTTGAATTTAAAATTTAAAATATTTATTATAAATGGAAACTTCGGAAACTATCGTCCCCATCTGTGAGTCCTGGTTAAGATTGGCCGACGTCACTTTATCGTTTGATGGTTTAGAACCCATAAAAGTTCACTGCACTAGAGCCAGCATTACGTCTGTTTAGTATTTCAATTACATTCAGATTTCTGTTTATTTTTAGTTTTTTACTCACCATTATTCGTTTTTACTTTTTAGTGGATTAAATATTAAAAGATTAGTGAATTAAATTAGTCTTGTTTTAAAAATTTCTTTTGTTTTTGAGGTACAATTTTTTTTTGCTCAAACAAATTATTCATTTTTTTGGAATATATTAATAATTAGATTAGCATTAGATTTATTGAAAACAAATTTTTCTCTAAATCTGAAATTTGAAATTATGAAATTATAAAGCTAAACCTGTTAATGAAATTTTAGCACACTGCCCTCTACATTTTTTTTTTATAAAAAGATATATTGTAAAAAGTTTTTTAGTTTTGCTTTATTGCATTTACAAAATTTCAAGTTGACTATGAATGAATTTATTTTGAATTTATTGATTTCAAAAAATATTTTATTAATTTTCAGTGATTATCGACTCTACCGTCGTGGCATAAACTCTAGACTGTGTGAGTATGCAGAAAGTGAGCAAGAAATGTATGAAAGCGAACCATTAACAGAGTTAGAATATACTAACAACGTGGCCTCAGCACCAGAGGTCCAAGATTTTGTCATGGATGAAGAGGAAGAGAAGGAGAAAGAGCAGATGATTGCCATGGGTCTGCCCGTTTCATTTTTTTCTGGGACCAGGGCCGCCAGACGAGGTAGAAGTTGGAAGTCGAATAAGCCTTATAATAGGAAGCTGCAGTTACAAATCAACGGTTTGATTTTATTTTATGTTTTTGGTATTAAACAATTTAAAATTAATTAAATCTCATTTTTTCATAAAGTTTTTTGGCAAAGTAAAATTAAATTAAAGTGTATATTTTTTCATAAAGTTTCTTTACAAAGTATTAATTTAATCTACTCAGTTTAATTAAAATCTTTAGATAATGTACTTCAATTTAACTGTCACCTGCAGACAACTACGAAGCAAACACAGAAGACCCACTGTGGACATCATTCTGGGAGAAGCACTCGGATAAGATAATTTGGGATAGATGGATTAGGAGATATCCTCAATATCTGGATGCCTGTGACCAAACATCGATCTACCCCGATGACTACAACAGCAATGTTACAAAAGACAGTATATATGTCATCGATTCTAACGATAGTAATACATTAACTAAGGACGTCAGTAACATTAAAGAAAATGCTCCAGCCAGTGCAGACAGTATTGTTGATGACATTAAAGTCGTCAGTATCGTTACTGATGACGCTGACCACAATAACGTGGACGAAAAAAATTTGGCTGCTACTACTACAATTTCTACTACTACTTCTACAATTACTAACAATTTTAGTAACTTTTCTAACTCACGCCCCACAACTAATAATCCTGCTACAGACAATAACGCTACTACTGTGATGTCAATCAATGAAGAAAACTCCTCCTCCATTGCTGATATCACCACGCCGACAAATATCATCACGTCAGTCGCGCCATTAAACATTCCACTGACTGCTGCCACAACTGGCGGCGACAACCACATCGACGACGGTGTTGGTGCTGTAGGGACGTCATTCGACTGCCTCATCACTCCCACCCCCTATAACGTTGATACCAACAGAGATGCTGGACACCCCCTGGATGGAAATAAAATGGAATGGGACAAACTCTGGGACGTGCACTGGAGCGAGGTGTACTGGGAGCTCTACAACTCTTTCCACAATCGAGACGTCGATGACCAAGGTGACGTCATGTCCGATGAGGATGGCGATGCTGATGGAGCTGGAGAGAAGAAGAAGATGAGTGACAATGGTCGGCAGTTGCTAGGCATTCTACTCTTATCTATTTCTTCACACTTTATATCATTCATCAAAATACTTTTACTAGATTGTCATTTGTCTCTATATTTTTTGTGTTATTTTATTTTTAAATTTTTCATGCTAAACCCACAAAATTGAAAAAATGTAACCCCGCCACTGCCAGCCTCGTCAGCTAGCTTGGACACGACGCAGTCACAATGCAGCAGCAGTAGGAACAGAAATTCTAAGTGGACTTCAGCTGCCAGCAACTGCGCCACAGCTGGAAGTACAGTCACTGTCCCTGGCGGTGACGGTGACGAAGACGACGACGATGGACCACCTGAGGAAGTATCGAGCAAGTTGAAGAGGAGGTGAGTTGGTGTGTGTGTGTGTGAGTGTGTATATGTGTTCGTGTGTGTGTATGTGTAAGTGTGTTTGTGTGTGTTGGTGTGCGTGTGTGTGTGTGTTGCTGTCCTAATTTATTTTGGATTTTTTAAAAAATGATTCACTACACTGCAGCCACGAGACCGAAGATGATGATGAGGATGATGAGGATGAAGAAGAAAAGGAAAAGATTGACGATGGCAATAATGATAGAGTCACTAATGTCAGTGAGGATGTTAACAAAGTTGCTGGTACGAAAAGTAGCGTACCGAGTAAAGAGAAGCTGATCAACTCCTTTCTTAGAATGGGGTACGCTTGCGAAGACGACGAGATGAACAGGTGTTTGTTTCATTGATTTCTAATACACCTGAAATGATTTCAGACTATTTTTATTTAACCCTGTACCTTCTTTTCTGTATTTATTTTGGCTTTATTTTTGTCCTACTATGCTCTACTATTAAACATAAAAAATGCTTGTTTTATCATACCCGGCAGGCAAACATCCACCTTGCTGGGGGGCCGCATAAAGATGAACAAGCGAAACAAAAAGAAGATGAAGCAGCAGGCCCCCTACCTCTTCTCGACTGCCACCGCGACAGACAGCCACAAGTACATCACGAACGACGACGTGGACAACGACGCCAGGACCAAACTGAACACGAGGTCCATGGAGCTGCAAGGAAGAGTTGATTCATTCCTCAGTGAGAACGCCCTCGAAAGATTGGCCGCCTGGTCCAGCAATGTCCCAGTGCCATTGTTAGGGAAGGAGCAAGAAGATGAGGACGATTACGGGATTGATCCGTTCATCAGGGAGAAGATAAGACTTCAGGGTCAGCAAAAGTCTCGTTGCAGGCGTAAGAAATCGAACAAGAGTGAAGATGGTAGCTGGTGTGATGCGGATAGCATGGAGGCCCTAGATGGAACCACAGCTGGCAGCTCGGCTTCTGACTTCACTGCTGACGACCTCCTGTCGATTGGAGGCTCCGAGGCAGGAATGCTCGATGAACCTGATCAGAGCAAGTCTGCATCTGCCAGTTTTGCAGATGAAAATCTCGTCAAAAAGAAGTCGAGTGACGCTGACATGATGAGTTCAACCGCCACTACCACAGCAACTACTGCAACAGCTGGTGGGGATGGCGACTGTTCATCTGCCACTGCATCTAACATCACTGACGTTGGTTTGACCTCTGAACCCTCGACCTCCTCTAACATGAAACCGATACCCATTGTTGCCATTGAGAAGGTTGATGATGGGGCCAGTGGGGATGCTAAAATAAGGTAGGCCCATTTATCTTAGTGCACTTTTTTTTATCATGGCAGAGTAACTCGTTTTGATACGTTAAATAAATGTATGATACTGATATGGATATATATGATACTGATATAGATATATATATGATACTGATAAATGGATACAATGATGTACGTTAACTATTCTCAACTGAAGACTGACAGATGAGGTTCTGGAGATACATAACAGCACAGTGGACCAGCTGAACAGTAGGAGCGTACCTGAGTCCCAAAACCTCAACAAGTACTGGGCCCAGAGGTACCGCCTCTTCTCCAGGTTCGACAGAGGCATCAGGATTGACGACGGTTAGATTCTATTTTTAGCTTCACTCTTTCTTTTCTCTTTCTCTTTTTTTTTTCTCTCTCTCTCTCTCTCTCTCTCTTTCTACCTCTCTCTTCTATGTTTTCAACTTCTCTTTCTTTTAAATGATATTAGTAATGATGGTGATGGTGGTGTTGAGTTGAGTTGAAAGTTTGAAAATTCTCATTTGAATTAAATTAATTTTTACTTCTTTTTTTTCTATCCAGAGGGCTGGTACTCGGTGACTCCTGAAAAGATCGCCCGACATATCGCAAACAGGTCATCAATCAAAATGATACATATCTCTAAATAGAATTATACACATCCCTAAATAAAAGGATATGCATATCTAAATAAAATGATACATATCTCTAAATAGAGTTATACACATCTCTAAATAGAATTATACACATCTCTAAATAGAATTATACATATCTCTAAATAAAAGGATATATATCTATAAAAAAGTGTATGTATAATGTATATATCTCTAAATAAAATGACATATACATATATCTCTCTCTAACAGGTGTATATATTTCTCTAAATAAGGTGATATATATCTTTAAAAAAAGTGCATATACATATATATATATCATTATAAGTATCATAAGTCGTATCGTCATGTTTTTAAAGGGAAACTTCTTGGATTTGAAAAAAAAATCTCCAAATTAACCTCAGATGTATACAGATAGAATAATAAATACTTAGACATTGAGATACAGCCGCCCAGTGGCATTCATAAAGCTTCGTCTCATTCAAGTTGTTTTAAATAAAAAATTTTTTTTCCCACCATTATGACGTCAGGTGCAAGTGTGACGTCATAGTCGATGCTTTTTGCGGCATTGGAGGAAACACCATACAGTTTGCTTTCACCTGCAATAAAGGTGAGTTAGTTGGATGGATGGATGGGTGGGTGGGTGAATGGATGGGTGGGTGGGTAGATGGATGGATGGATGGGTAGATGGATAAATGATGATGGATGGATGATGATGATGGATGGATGGGTGGATGAGGAGTTATTGCAGATGTTTATTTTATAAATTGTGTTTTTGAAAGATTATATTCATTCTCTTATTTTTAAGTTTGGGTTTATTTTGAATTCTGGTATTTTTTTTTTGTAAAATATTTTTCACGTTGATTTTCAAATAATTTAAAAAGTGCTCTCAGCTGTTCTTCCTATGTTTCCATGAATCATTGACATAGATGTCTCGCTTTTTCTTCGTTGCTAATTTGTACGGAGTTAAATTTATATTTCCTCTCTGCTCCTTCGTCCCTCTTAAATAGTGATAGCCATCGACATCGACCCGCAAAAAATCTCGTATGCCCGCCACAATGCCGCCATCTATGGAGTGGCCCACAAAATTCAGTTCATCGTGGGAGACTACTTGGTGTTGGCCCCCACCCTGAAGGCTGACGTGGTCTTCTTGAGCCCGCCATGGGGTGGTCCCAGCTACCTAGATGCCAAGTTGTTTGATATCAAGACTATGATGAGTCCCAATGGGTTTGTAGTGCACTGTTTGTTGTTGTTGTATTGTTTTGTATCTCTTTTTGTTTGTTTGTGAATTGTATTATTTTTGCTTTGATTGTATGTTTGCTTGTTTCTTCATGAGTTGTATGTATCTGGTTTTGTATATGCTTCTATTTTTTTCTGTCTCATTCTATTGTATATTTTTATGATGACGACGACGATGATGATGTTGATGAGAATGATGGTGATGAGGATGATGGTGATGACGACGATGACGATGATGATGATTGCGTATTTCTTGTTAGATTTGAAATATGGGAGAAGACGAAGCTGATAACGAGAAACGTCGCATTCTTCCTGCCAAGAAATACAGACGTCGAACAAGTTAGTCCGATAATTTACTCTTAATCATTGTCTACTTTCACCATCATCATCACCATTTTTTTATTATCACTATCATTATCAATCAAATGGCTTATATGCATGTGTGTGTGTGTATGTTAAAACTAAATCAGTGGTGAATGACATTAAACAGTCAAAATGTATGTATGTATGCACGTATGTATGCATGTGTGCACGTGTGTGTGTGTGCGTGCTTACGCGCGTGTTTGTGTGTGTGTGTATGTGTGTGCATGCATCATCACACATCATACTTATCATCGCCAAAACCACCACCACCATCATCTTTATCATCACCCTCATCTTCACCATCATCACCGTCAATCATTTTTTTAAAGGTCAGCTCGTTGGCCGGCTCAGGTGGCTCTGTAGAGATCGAGCAGAACCTTCTAAACGGCAAGATAAAGACGTTAACCGCCTACTTTGGAGATCTCATCGACAGCCAATCAGACGTCATCAATTAATGATTAACATATCGTTTGGGCGTGGCTTACTTTTATCACTTTCATAATCATTAGTATTATTATTATTATTGATATTATTACTATTATTATCATCATTATCACATCATTATCATTATTGTTAGATAGTTATAAAATAGTTCTTCTGTTATTTAAACTTTATTTTAATCTTAATAAAATTTGATGTACGAATGTTAACGTTTTAAACACACACACGCGCACACACACGGACACATACACATATTCACTGATACACACACAGATGCACACACGTGCACAAAACGCAGAAATAATTACACTAATGTTTGTATATATATAGATGAACATTTGTTGGTTCATAGTTATATATAGTTCTGCAATGGTAATACAACAATGACGATGAAAATAATTGTGGATAATGGTAACAAAATTGATGATTTTAAAGGAATGCGAGTTATTATCGTATTTCTTTTCTTTTTTAGCGACTTATGTCTCTTTTGTAGAAACGTTTGTGTTTTTATGGATTCATTCATTCATTCATTCATTCATTCATTCATTCATTCATCCGCCAATTCGTTCATTCATTCGTTCATTCAATTGTACATTATTTTTTGCTGTTGTTATAATAACTTTTGGTTATTATTATTATTATTATTATTATAGCGAGGAAGTCTTTAAATGCCAATGCTATGTTTTTATTATTGTTATTTAAGCTTTCCTCTCCTATGTACACATTGCCATCCTTGTAATTGTTAACCATTTCATATATACAGTACATACATATACGTGTTGTGTATGCGTGTATGCATGTACATGCTTTGTACACACACACACACACACACACACACATACATACACACGTGGGTATTGTTAAAAACTGTTGAAACATCAATGTATAAAATAAAAATATCCAAAGTTTTACATTGAGATTATTTTTTGTCTTTTTTTTTATACATACACACACACACACACACAGGTTTGTATATTTGTATATATTAGTGCACATACATACATACATACATACATATATATACATATACATACATACGTTTTTACATTATACATGAATGGGTGTGTGTACGTGTACGTGTGTATATATATATATATATATATATATATATATATTCTAGATAGAAATTCAGTAATTGACAACCCACGATTTCGCAAGTCAACCGGCAAACTATTCCAAATCTTCGGTTCCATGACAGCGAAATCTCTGCAACCAACAGCAAGGTGAGTTTGTCGAATTGTTAACAAATCTAAATCGTTTGACCGTAACTTCTGACACTGTAACGGTGCATTTCTTGGAACAATTCGATCCATTAAATAATTTCGGCGCTAATCCATTAATGCTTTTATACACCAGTAGGGCAATTTTGAAGACAATTCTTTGTTGAACGGGCAACCAATGAAGATTGAAGAGAATAGGAGTAACATGATCAAAATATGAACCACCAGTTAACAACTTGGCAGCCCGATTTTGAATTAATTGTAACTGTGCAACATACTTTTTGGGTAAACCGTAGAATAAACTGTTGCAATAATCAATCCTCGAGAGAATGAACGAGTGAATTAAACGTTGCAATGTATGCATATTTAGAGATCCTTTGATGAGTTTCAATTTTCTCAATTGGTAAGTACATTCTTTCAACAACAACTTTATGTGCAATTGCATTGTCATGTTTGTATAAAAATAAATCCAAGATTTCGTGCTGACGCACAAAATTCGATGACAGATTTCTTTATTCTGATAGTGTTGATACCCACTCTATTCACTTGTTGCTATGTACCCACAGGCAAAAACTGGGTCTTGCATTGGTTCAACTTTAATCTGTGCCCCATCATCAAAACATCAATGGCTGATAAACACGATACTAAATCATCGACCACATCACCAAACGACGATGGAGAGGAGTTGGCTATTATTTGGATGTCGTCAGCAAATGCATGAAACCTGAAATTGTACGACTCAATTATTGTGTAGACATCTGCTGTATAAAGCAAAAAGAGACTGGGACCTAAGACGGAACCCTGTGGTACACCGTATGACAAAGCATCGACAGCTGCCAAATTATATATATATATATATATATATATATATATATATATATATATATATATATATATGTGTGTGTGTGTGTGTGTGTGTGTGTGTGTGTGTGTGCGTGCGTGTATATATATGTTTAGTATATATAAACTATGTGTGTGTATATAGTTCGTCATTAATAATTTGTAACTTTATAAACAGTGGTTTTAAAAATTTTCTTTACTGGTAATGCTAGGAACCATTTTTTCCAGTTTTTAAATATATTTTCTGGCTTTATGAGTAAATTTTTAAATTTGAATATCTGATAATATTTATTCGTTTGTTTATTGTTTTTATTATTTATTATTTTTCATAATTTTATTTATTTATTATTATTCATAATTACTAGTTACAAGTAACATGCCATGCCTTGCAAGTTTTAAGCTTCATTCATTCATTTATTCATTCATACACTCACTCATTCATTCATTTATTTATTCATTCATTCAATCAATTTTTTAATAGATATAGTAGATTATTTTAAATCTGCATTTATTCCAATTAATAGATGATAATAATAACAACAATAATAATAATGTTTATTTATTTTTGTTTAAACAATAATTTTTTATTGTTTAAATAATATGTGCGTGTGTTTATGAGCTGTTATAATTCGTAATAAATATTTTATTGTCTTTAGAGATATTCACTGTTTATCTAAAGCACCATTATTTTAGGTTAATTGATTAATTAATTGATTGATTGATCTTGTTTGACTGATTAATTGATTCATCTTGATTGATTGATTGAATGATTGATTGATTGAATGAAAGAATGATTGACTGATTGATCAATTGATGGTCATATAATAACATCATCTGATGTGTTGTCTGTTAATAATGTTGCGTTATGCTTATATTTCGTCAAAAGCAAATAATAATTATTTATTATTCAACATTAATAATTAATTACCCCAGAATCTTCCAAACTATTATTGTTTTTAATACACGTTAAGCCTAACATGCGGCATGAATTTGTTTATTTTTTTTTCCTCTTTTATAATTTTTATTTATTAGCAAAAAAAACTAATTTTAATTCGATAATCTATTAAAAAATGGGATTTATTATAACAGCGATCAGATGTTAAATTATTTTGGCTTTCTATAAAGTTGCTTTACTTTTAAAACTTGTAATTTTCGACGCCAACTTTCTTCACGTTAACGAACTACTTTTTTAAAAGGCTCAAACTTGCTTCTGTGAAATTTGCAATCAAAAATAATTAAAATCGTTGTTTTTCAATCAAATTTATTTTGATTTTATTTTTATTATTAAAGTTTCGAAACTGAAAAATATAAATTAATGGCTTGATTGAAGAATTTTATCATTTTATATGTCAAATCTCAAATGTCATGAAATCTCTGGGAACATGCTGCAGAAGAATGTTCTGCTTTTTCCAGCGTCCTAACCACCAACACCCTAACAACAATTCATTGTCATTGTTTCCGAGATCAGATGCTGCAGATGGAGATGACAATATGGCCTGTCAATCATCTCTTAATGTTTGTTGTTATTTGAATTTTTAATTTTTATGGTTTTTTATATTTTAATCATTTATTTTTTTATTTCATCTATTGTTTTAAAATAAAATTAATCATAACAATTAAGCTATGACTCTGCCTGCCAGTGCACTACGCTACACATAGTATGTTAAAAAAACTTTCTGATGTAAAAAGTAAACTTAAAATCTTTTAAAAATCTCCTGTCCCCCCCAGAGTAGTTCATACTTAAAAAACAGTGAAACAAATAACAACAACAACATGAACTGGATCAACGACAACAGCAACAACAACATGAACTGGAGCAACAACATGATACTTCTAGCAACAGTCAATGGAGATAAAACCATGCTATCTAAGATTCTCTCAAGTGGGCAGTTTTTTTTATTTTTAATTATTTTTTTATATTTTTCTCTTTCATTTTTTTAAACATTTCTTACAAACAGGAAGTTAACTATATAACTTAAAACACATATAATTTTTTACCTTCTGTACAGCTTCTGTAGTACAATCAATAATCTCTAATTATAGACACCACACGATTTATGCACTTTATACAGACTTATTTTGTATGCATATGTTTTTATACATACAAAAGTAACATTTCAGCTACTGGGTTTATGAATCTATATAGAGATATATCATGTTATATTTTTTTTTTCTAATTTTTTTTCTCTATTTTTACAGCCTGTTCTGACAAAAATCTTGAATATTATGATAACAATGGAAGGACAGCCTTAATTTATTCGGTCTTGAGTGAGAGGGTTGAGATCACGGAGATGCTACTGAGAACAAATATTGACGTGAACAAGCAAGACTCTCTTGGAAGGACTGCTCTGCATTGGGCTTCCATCAAGGTTTACCTCTTTTTCATTAATTTTGTCTTTTAAATTTTTAAATAAATATAGACATATGTTTATTAGGTAGTGAATTAGATTGATATATGGTTAATTAAATTGATGATTAGTGAACCAAATTGATGAAAACCAGGTCTATATTGATGTACTGTACCAGATTTTCTTCACGTAGTCATCTTAAATTTTTTTAAAACAGGGTAACAACAACATTATCAAACAACTATTGAACTACGGAGCCAGCGTAATGTTGAAAGATAACAACGGCTCGACACCACTGCACCTTAGCACGAAACATCAGTCGCCCAAATGCCTCTCAACACTAATCAAACACGTCCAGTTAGGTGTGGTCGATGATCAGGACTGTAATAAGGTTGGAGACAAGAATATGGAATATATGATGTATATATTCATGTTTACAGAAATAAAGATAAATGTTTTAATGTTTAAAGAGAGAGAGAGAGAGAGAAGGTAAAAGGGAGAAAGTAAGAGAGAGGTATTTAGAAAGTTACAGTTAAATTTCTTAAAGATTGAAATTGATTCTTAGCAAATTGAAGTTTGTTTTAAACTTTTTTAATCAGAGGACAG